GAGGGAGTAGGTTGGGCCGTGGGTTGGGGTGAGTGGGGTTGGGCCGTGGGTGAGGTGGAGGGGGGTAGGGGCTGGGCCGTGGGTTGGAGATGATAGGGGTTGGGGTCGTCCTCCGTGGAGTCGAGGAAAGCCAGTTCATCGGGAGTGGATGGATGACTCTAGGGGTAAGTGAGTTCATCAAAGACTACATGCCGAGAAACAATGACTTTATGAGTTTGGAGATCAAGGCACCGATAACCACGTTGGTTAGTCGGATACCCGAGAAAGATGCATCGAGCCGAACGTGGTGCTAGTTTGTGAGGAGCAGTGGCAGAGATATTTGGGTAGCAGAGGCAGCCGAATACACGAAGGTGGGAATAAGTAGGGGGTTGACCATAGAAAACTTCATGAGGTGTGCGGAAGTTAAGAGTAGTGGTGGGTAGTATGTTGAAAAGGTGTGCAGCCATGGAGAGGGCCTCGACCCAGAATTGAGGAGGGAGGTTAGCTTGAAAGAGGAGAGAGCGAACAGTGTTGTTGAGGGTGCGAATGGTGCGTTCGGCACGACCATTTTGTTGACTAGTGTGGGGGCAAGAGAAACGGAAGGTGATGCCAAGACTCTCGAAAATGGTTTTGAGGGGGGTGTTTCGATATTCGGTGCCATTATCGCACTGTACAGCTTTAATTATGGTGTTGAATTGATTTTTCACATAAGCAATAAAAGTCTTAAGGTGAGAATACACATCAGATTTATGTCGCAAGGGAAAAATCCATAAGTAATGAGAAAAATCATCCAACAATAACATATAATGCTTAAAGCCTGTAACACTGGGAACTGGGGATTGCCACAAATCAGTATGAAGTAATTGAAATGGAAAAACAGAAATACGATTCGATGACATAAAAGGGAGGCGAACATGCTTTCCCAACTGACATGCATGACACAAAGAATGCTGAAATTGTTTATTAAGACACGGAGATAAACTAGGGACTCCACGAAGGACGGCATGGCTAGGGTGGCCCAAACGCTGGTGCCAGAGCTCTGGATCAGCGGAGACAGCATGGGCTTGGGCCTGGGTTGCTGGTGGGCACATGGGATAGAGTGGACCGGCATCATTGGACCGATGAATCACGGACCATGTCTGCATATCCTTCACAGAAAAACCAGTAGGGTCAAATTCAACGGTACAATTATTGTCGCGGGTGAATTTGCGGACAGAGATAAGGTTATGAATAATATGGGGGGATACCAAGATATTATGTAGGGACAAGGAGGGGGAAGTGGGGAAGTGATAATTACCGGTAGCCGTAGTGCGGACTCTAGAACCATTACCAACAGTGATGTATGAAGATGAATTTAAAGAATTAAAACGAACATGAGAAAGTGTACCTGTGTCGGAGGCTATGTGGTGGGATGCTCCCGTATCCATGTACAATGTGGGGTCACGGAGGCTGAGGGTGTCAAAATTATGGGCAAGGGCGGTTGGTGTGGGAGGAGAGTGGGTAGTTGACGGGTGAGTGTAAGGGGTATGGGGTGGGNGGTAGCCGTAGTGCGGACTCTAGAACCATTACCAACAGTGATGTATGAAGATGAATTTAAAGAATTAAAACGAACATGAGAAAGTGTACCTGTGTCGGAGGCTATGTGGTGGGATGCTCCCGTATCCATGTACAATGTGGGGTCACGGAGGCTGAGGGTGTCAAAATTATGGGCAAGGGCGGTTGGTGTGGGAGGAGAGTGGGTAGTTGACGGGTGAGTGTAAGGGGTATGGGGTGGGTGTGCGGGTGAGTAGGGAGAAGCTGGGGGCTGTCCGTAGGAATGGAGGGGGGGATAGCCGTAGTTTTCTGGTGGGTAGGGGTTTGGGTTTTGGGTGAGATAGGCCTGGGGTGGGGGGTGGGTATGGTAGGTGGGCCTAGGGCCGAGGAGCCCGGGGTAGGGGCTGGGGTTCGGTGTTTGCCAGGGCTGTCCGTGGGTGGAGCGGGGATTCGATCTGGAGCTTCGACCTCGACCGCGATTGCGGTGACCACCACAACCACGGCCACTGCTGCTGCTGTGGGAATGCTGTGCGTGGCTGCTGTTGCTGTGGGACCCGCGACCCCCGCCGGCGGAACTGTGGAGAGGTGCACCATGGCTGCTGGCCGAGAGAAGGGCCGTGCCGGTGGTAGGGTCGGCATCCAGGTCTGCTCCTTGGCGTTCCAAAAGGAGGAGGGCCGATCGGGTTTGGAGGAACGTTGGCGGCGGGGTTTGAAACTGCAGAAAAGATGTTTGGCCCCGCATGTCATCCGGCAGCCCCCGAAGCACTTGTAACACAAGTTGTTGTTCCGAGACGGGGGCATCTACGTCGTCCAACAAATCGGCTATGTTCTTGAGGGTTTGACAAAAGGCCGAGATGGACAACGAACCTTTCCTTGTAGTCCGGAATTGATGTTCCAACTGCATGGCACGGGCGGGTTTGTTATCATGAAAAAGGGAATAGATGGATCGCCAAAGTGCCGCGGCCGAGTCGGTGGAGGAAATCACAAGATCGGAGACTTCATCGTTGATGGTGGAAAGGATCCACCCTTGGAGGAGTGCGTCAAGTTGATACCAATCAGCATCATCGGCACCGGACGGGGCTGATTTTCCGGTGAGGAAGTCGCCGAGAGAGAAGCGACGCACCAAGAGTAGGAATAGGCGACTCCACTTTTTGTAGTTCGGTTCCGTGAAACTCAATAGCACCGGGACATGAAGCTTCACGTTGGAAATTGTCGTGAATGCCAAGTGAGGAGTGGAGGCGGAGGAGGAGGGTTTGCCGGAGGCTGTCTCTTTCTCGGACATGGCGGCGACCTGAGATGGTTGCTACTGTGGAGAGACGGCAGAGCAGAGAGGAGAGAAGGACGCTGGTGTTGGCGCCGCAGAGAGAGGAGAAGAACGCCGGTGCAGGAGGACGCCGAGTGTGGCAGTCGGCGTTAGGGTTTGGTGGTGCGGCGGATTGCTACGCACGAGAGAGAAGAAAAACTTTTAGGGTTTAGGAAGGAGGCTCTGATACCATGAAAAAGAATTGTTTTCTCTATTCATCTTGTGGAGTCAAGCCCCGTATATATACAAAAACATAAGTCTCTTAACTATGGAAGGATATAAACAAGGAAACTCTATACAAAGGAACCTACCAAATATAAAGACATTAAATATACAATAATATATTTAACACTCCCCTTGCAAAAAATCTTACTCCAAGTAGTAAAAGACATGCAGAATATATTTTTGTTATATTGAAAATATTCTGTTTGGGTTTTTGAAAAGTTTAAAAATATTTATTTAATTATATTTACGTAATTTTTTTTAAATAATTAAAAATTATACCGGCGGATATTTTCGGCGCAAAATTAGTGGCGGAATTGTCTGCCACAAAGTTACCGGCGGAATTTTCCCCCTTTAAAATTACCAGCGCTCGTTTTAGTGGCGGATCTTGTTCCGCCGCAACTTCGACGCTAAAACACCATCACTCGCGGATTTTAAGCTTAAACCGGCGGATTTTCCCCACACAATTCACGATAATTTTTGTAGTGGATGTTTGAAGCATGGAGTTTCACTTTTGTTAAGGCAGCAGAAGCGAATGAAGAGAGTCGTAGGCTTGCAACACCCTAACCCCCAACTAGACAGCATTGTTTTTATGAGCAGAGAGGATGAGTGCACTTTACTGAAATAAGAGAACACATAACAACCACTTTGGGTATAATCTTTTTTATGCAAACATGCGTGAATCTAATCTAAATGGGTTAACAGGGAAAAAAAGAACAAATATTTGCACTAAATAGCACTAAAACTTACTACCTCCGCCCCGCTATATTCGTCCACTTTTGACTTTTGGAACTGTTCATCTAAGCACTTTGACTCATCAAATTCTCTCAATGTGTAAGCCTAAATATAGTCATGTGTGATCTTGTTTGATTTGTCTTGACATATAGATTATTAATACGTAGTATATAATTTCTATAATTTTTTAATATACGAATTACAATATAAAATAGATCAAAGAAGTGTATTGGATGTTGTGTAAAAATGAAAGAGGACAAATATAGTGAGACGGAGGGAGTAAGTCATTTCCCTAAATAGCATTTAAATTTTTTTATTCATTAAATAACACTTAATACTGTCCATAATGACTTGCGATGACGAATATTTACTTAAATAATGACTAATGCATAATGACTAAAAGCACTAAATTGGGAAGAAAAACATGTGTAGTACTATTAAGTGAAAGTCATTATGTTTTAGTGTTATTTAAGTAAAATTTCCTTATTCTTTTTTAAGTAACATTACGCTAAACGAAGTAATTTTTTGAATTTTTTCAATTCCTATTATTATAAGAATGGTCTACAAATAAAAAATAAAACTTACTCCGTACCTTTTAGTAATGTACATTACCATGTTTGGTAATGTAAATTCATTTTAAGTCTTATTGTGGGAATAAAAACATAGAATTCCTATTTTGGTATATTTTTAATGTTTTAATCTTACTTTGATCTTTCTCCCTTTTCTGTATCAATTCGGTATCATATCCTCTCACCCCTAATATAAACATGACTTTTTAATGAAGCATTTCATTTGAATGTAAAATACAAATGATTTAAGTTCACTAAATTTTTTAATTATTGACTGATTCTCCCCGCACAAATTGAAAAAAAATCATTAAAGATCTCATAATTTCTCTCTTTCGCATTAATTCAAGAAAACAATGAATTACTAATGTTATGATTATACGATTCGAAAAAAATATAAATCTTCTTGCCCACATTAATTCACATTAACGAAAATGTATGATTCCCCCACATTAATTTCAAAAATAATAATTTTTTCTCGATCTCCCGTATTATGTGAAATTTAAACTAAATATTACTAAAACTTTCATTTTCCAATGTACTACGTAAAGTTTTTTATTTTCTTAATATAACTTGAATAATGTCCAGTGATGGTGGACATTTAGTTTGAACAATGTCCAATGACACTAGATATTTATTTGAACAATAACCAATGAAAAATAATCAGTGACACTACATTGGAAAATAAAAACATACTCCGTATAATATTACATTGGGAAAGTCACTACATTTTAGTACTACTTAGGTAAATTGCCCCCGTATTATTAGAAAAAAGTGATAAATGAACATGACGTTATAATAAATTTTTTTTTAAAAAAACTACAATGATTCTTCTCCCCCGTATCAGATAAAAATTCGGGCTTGTGCACGATACATGCTTTTTGTGGCTATTGTGTCGGAGTCTTTGCGTATTGAAGATATTAATGACTTAGAGAATGAGGGCAATAAATACATCTCCATTCTAGCAGGTGTGGCCGTAGTGATTGTCAGAATCCCTTCCTGAAAGCACTGCTGTCATTTATTGACAGGTTGCCAAAGAGTACTATATAGACATAAAAGGGAAAAGCCATCAATATATATGGGGGACTCTCTAAGATGGGGGAGAGGACCTCTCGTGAATCACTCTCTAGAGGGGAAGTTTGACGGGTGAATCACTAGGTGTCAACAATTAGGAGATTTTGGGATACGGGAAGAGTGCTTACTCAGGATCCTTAGAGTCATACAAGGGTACTATGACTGAACCTTTGGTTTCACCTCCAGAAGACTTGACCATACTGCAGCCTACAACACATTTACAGTTGGCTAAGGATTTTCATCACACTTTAGCAGATGGGCAGTCCAATGGACTCCAATGAGTCTTCTAGCC